ACTCTACGTCTCTCGAGGGAATGCAGATTAAGATGCTTTAACCTGTCTCTGTACTCAAGGTTCCTAATGCCCGGGATTAGTCTTGTCATTCTCCTCGCTATAGTCTTGTAACTAACATTCCTTTGTATGAACCCAAGTACTTTGTTGGCCTTGTTTCGAGTAAATACACATTATTTACTAGGTTTAAGATCCCTACTTATCATTACTCCTCAATCTTTCTCACAGTCGGATTTCTATAACCTCGTTGTTCATCTGGTAACTGGTTTCTCTGATTACATCTCGTAGACTAAGTTCTTTCCATTTGTCCACATTAAATTTCATCTGCCATTTTTCAGACCACTCGAATTTTTTTTTAGATCTTCCTGTAATTTTGTGGGGAGTCCTTGTCAGAATTAATTACACGTCCTATTTTAATGTCATCAGCAAATTTACTTATGTTTCTGTCTACTCCTACTTTCAAAGCTTGAACATTACGGCGTTAAGGGCCTGTCCCACAATTGGTTTACCTCATATCTGTCCAACAGGATGCAGTATGTCTGTTATAATAACCACCAATCTGACTCCTCGCCTATCTTGTATGGAGTCCCCCAAGGTTCAATTCTCGGTCCAGTACTGTTTTTGTTGTACATAAACGACATAGTCCACGCCAGCCCACTCATAAATACAACTTATTTGCAGACGATAGTAATCTCTATGCCAGCAACTCAGACCTCCATTCCTTGATGAGAACTATGAACACTGAATTAACTTAAGTCGGGACCTGTAATACGTAATAAACTGACCCTAAATCTTGAGAAAACCCACTACTCAATCTTTCACAGAAGAAAAACTTACCTCCAGACTTGAACCCCTGTACCTTGGTAATATAGTCCTCAAATGCAAAAAAAATACTAAATTCCTCGGAGTTATTGTTGATGAGAAACTTAACTGGAGAAACCACATACAAGCCATTCACAGTAAAATCAATAAACAGTGCGTATCATGTATCACACTCGACAGTCACTCACTCTCACAGCAATGAAAGAAATCTATCATGATCTTGTTTACCAACACCTGATACACTGTCACTCACTATGGGGGCCTCTGGCTCTTCAAAAACACAATCTCTGGTTACTGCACAAAAAGAGAGTTGTACGGACAATGACCTACTTGAAAAACAGATGACACTAACGAAAAATTTGCTTTATTGAAATTTTTAAAATTCGAAGATATTAACACTTACTGCTGTGCCTCTTTGTTTACAAATCTATCAATCATTTGCTTGACAATAATTACTTCCAGTTCCGGAATAATCAGAGATACAACTTGAGGCACCCAGAACTACTAAGACCAACCCCCATGCGCTCATCTCAGTCCCAGACCTCCAAAATATCATGGTGTGAAGGTGTGGAACAACTTACCCCACCCATCCGAGCAAAGACTACGCTCCTTCCTTTAAATCATCTCTAAAAAAGTATTAATATTTCTTGTAACACTTAATATATTTACAGTACCTGCTTTATTGTACAACCAAATCCGTTTTATCGAAATTATCATGTAAATAAGTAAGTAATTACCATTGCATACACATAATTGCCAACTAGACATAATTCTGAAAGCTCTGTCCTCTTGTTCAACCTTATTACTGCACAACCCAGGTTGTACTGCTCCCATTATACTTATGTTTAAATTCCATTCCAATTATATGTATATGTGTGTGTATGTATGTGTGTGTGTGTGTATATGTGTATGTATGTGTTTATATTTATATATGTGTGTATATGTGTGTATGTGTATATATATATATTATATATATATATATATATATATATATATATTATATATATATATATATATATATATATATATATATATATATATATATATTATATATATATATATATATATATATATTATATGTATATGTATATATATTATATATATATATATATATATATATATATATGTGTTATATATATATATATATATATATATATATTTATATATATATATATATATATATATATATATATATATATATATATATATATATATATATATATATATATATATATATATATATATATATATATATATGTGTGTGTGTGTGTGTGTGTGTATGTATAGGTATGTGTATATGTATGTATAGATAAATAAAACAAAAATAAAAAATAAAATAAATAAAAAAATAAAAATAATAAATAATAAAATAAATAAATATTGAAGTGATAACCGCGGTAACACTATGAGATGTTCTTATTACTACCATGCTATTGTACTATTCCAGATGATACTAAATGTTACATAATACTTCCTTGAGATAAATATATAGTATATATCAGGTGCCTCAAAGAGAGCTCAGATTCTCAACTGGCTCAGCCATGTTAATATTGTTATTATTATCCACTCTGTATCTGTATTTTTCTGGCTAAATAAACTGTTACAATTCAATATCTATGTCGTTTAAATATATAATAAATAATAATTGTCCAAGTACTGAGCCTTGGGGTGCTCAACCAGTGACATTACTCATCTCCCCTCTCAAATTACTTTCCCTCTCTCACATCCCTTACCCTTTACGTCCCTCATTTCCCTCTCCCTTGCCCTCACTGACCTCCCCCTTGCCCTCACTGACCTCCCCCTTTCCTCCCCACCCCTCACCAGGCTTAACAGCAAGTGGTGAAGGTTAAACAATCCCACATGGAGATTTTTCCCTTTTCTAATCGACTCGCATATCCTCATTATTCCACCCCCCTACCCCCACGAAAAAGGTAATATTTTTTCGAGATTTTTAAAAAGTTGTGTTTGACTGAACCTGAGGTGAAGTTTTAACTGTATTATTTTAAGGTTTTGTTTGGCTTGTACGTTGCTGTGTAGTCTGGAAATTCTGGTGAAGTGTAAAGTGTGCCGGATGTCGAGTTTTGTGCTCCACCGGTTATTTACTTCCGGGTGAAAAAGGAATTCCTGAACGAGTTATACACAAACCCTGCTTTACATACCGACTGTAACGCAGACAAAGAGTTGTATCATGGAGTTCAGTATTATAGTTGTATGTAATATTATGCCACATGAAGATTAGGCACCCGATCTTGATTTTACCTGATGATTAAACACCCTAAATCTAATCTAGCCCACAGGTAACGTTAGGGTGTTTAATCATCAGGTGAGATAAGCTGGAGGGGCTAATCTTCACGTGATCCGTCACATTTAAGGGATTTTTTTTAGCCTCTCTCAACACCATGGTGGAGAGGCATCGGGTACACAACCATACAGTAACATAATGGAAACCATACATACAACTATGAATGGGGCGTCTAGTGCTATACCTTTCATTCACATCGTTTCAGTATTTTATTTTATTTATTTATTTTTTTCTGAAATTAGCCCCCCTGGGCACAGGTCACTGACCCACATCTGGGCCTGGGGGGCGAAAATGTAATAATAATAATAATAATAATAATAATAAAATGAAAAGAGATCAAGAGTGAGACACCATATATGTATGTTGTGTTGTCAATTGTAAGAGAAACAATTGAGACCCTGCAATTGTGTGTAAATGAGGAAGAAAGTCAGATCAGCAACCTGGGACTAGGTCACAATTTTCGTAATGCCATATGGCAGCAGGGTCTTCCATTAGAGTTTCGACAATACATTATACTTCCAATATCTTCCCTGACGGTAGTACCTCCCTGTTTGGTAGCTGCCTACTACCTAACGTTCACAAGTCTTATAATAATGTTCACGATGGCAGGATATGTGTTGAGTATTAATATATGATGGGGTGTGACCGTAGGTGTGTGTGGCCATAGGTTTGTGTTGTCAACGGGGCATGATAAGGCTACGTGACCCAAAATACATCCACCCCTATAATTTGTTGTCAACCTATCGGTGGACCTGAGTCGATGCTATACAGGTCAGACGTAAAATTAGATGGTAATTGAAATATGACCTGATTTAAAGGGTGATAACTATGATGATGACAGTAACAGCGATCATGATGACAATGTGTTCAGTTTGGCCACCATTCTGCAAGATAGTGGCCATTTTCAGATTATAGTGTCAGATGTTCAAAGCAAAATGGTCGTCACTCTTGGATATTTGTTTCACAATTCAAAATGGCCTAGATTGTGGATGATTTTTTTTTTTTGGGGGGGGGGGGAACTCTAGTGACCCAAATTCACAGACGGAATTTCAGAGTAGTGTTCAGGTATGATTTAAACTTTGGTCATTCCCTCATTACGTCAGCAGTTTTTATTGGGCCTATCATTACTCCTTCATTTGCATACGACCAATAGTAAACGCCGTCACTGAACGATCTCATTACTAATTCGTTTGCTTTTATATATTGAGTTAGTGAACGTGACGGTGTGATGATGTGGTGAGTGTGGTGGATGTGGTGGTGTGGGAGACGTGGCGGTTTGGTGTTGAATGTAATGTGGTGGTGAGGTAACTATCGGTGGACATGGAGGCGTGATAAACATGACATTGTGATGAACTTGTCTTTCTGGTGAACTTGTCGCTGTGTTAATCGTAACACCGTGAAGAGCATGGCGTGCTAACCGTAACAACATGAAGAGCATGGCGATATTGCTCTAGTAAAGCCCCCCTGGAGATGTTCGGGGTACTTGGTTCTAACTACAGGGGTGAACATAAACACCTGTAGAGTTCTGTAGGTTCTTATTAACGGAAATATACAGGAGTGCGCTCACAAGCGCAGGTAGTCCTTACACTCCTATAGGGGTCAACTGACCTCTCTCTGACCTCTCAGGCGACATATGGTAAGTGGTACGTTAGCAGCTTCCAGATGTCGCCAGGCACATTTATCTAAGCGTGTGGTGACATGAAACAGGGGCATTGCCACACGCTGCTAACTAGAGAAGTAATGTATATAAATAGAGTACATACATGGTATACATACAACATACATAATATACATACTCCCCCCCCCCACAAAAAAGCTTGTATATTGTTGTTACCCTCATCTTTATTGTATCACGTATTACGTAACCATGTTGAATTGCATTAAGCCGCCACCTTGCAGTATCCCCTGAGCGCCTTCAGAAACAGGGTGGAGGTCGCGTCACAAATATCATCTCCTGTGCAGTACGTCATTCGTGATCCGCCACCGAAGTACTCTTCCAACCTGCTTGGGTTTATCATCATGCCCCTGTGGTCAAGTTGATAAGGAGAGCCAGTTGACCATAATTCTTATCTGCTCTGAAAAGTGAGTATTGTGGGTCCATTCTGAGTTGTGGTATTTCTAATTGTGTATGTCCTGAAGTATGTATGTGCTGACGCAAGTATATCCTGAAGCAAGTATGTACTGAAGCAGGTATGTCCTGAAGCAAGTATGTCCTGAAGCAAGTATGTCCTGAATCAAGTTTGTCTTGAAGCAAATCTGTACTAAAGCTTGTCCTGAAGCAATTATGTCCTGAAGCAAGTATGTCCTGAAACAAGTATGTACTGAAGCAAGTATGTCCTGAAGCAAGTATATCCCGAATCAAGTATGTCCTCAAGTATGTATGTACTGAAGCAAGTATGTCCTGAAGCAAGTATATCCCGAATCAAGTATGTCCTCAAGTATGTATGTACTGAAGCATGTATGTCCTGAAGAATTTATGTCCTGAAACAAGTATGTACTGAAGCAAGTATATCCTGAAGCAAGTATATCCCGAATCAAGTATGTCCTGAAGTATGTATGTGCTGAAGCAAGTATGTTATTGAAGCAAGCATGTCCAGAAGCAAGTCTGTACAGAAGCAAGTATGTCCTGAAGCAAGTATGTCCTGAAGCAAGTATATCCTGAAGCATAAGTGTACTGAAGCAAGTATGTCCTGAAGCAAGTATATCCTGAAGCAAGTGTGTCCTGAAACAGGTATGTCCTGAAGCATGTACAGTAGGTCGTGAAGCATGTATGTCCTGAAGCAAGTATATCCTGAAGCATGTGTGTCCTGAAGCAAGTATGTCCTGAAGCGAGTATATCCTGAAGCGAGTATATCCTGAAGCGAGTATATCCTGAAGCGAGTATGTCCTGTCGCTGTACAATATAGTATTAGTAAGGACATGGCGAGCGTCCTTTGAAAAACAATATAAATTTCTCAGTACGCCATGGACGCTCACAACCACGAATACATTATCCTGGAAGACGTAAACAAGGTTGTTTGTGTGTAATAATAATAATAATAATAGTAATAATAATAATAGTAATAATAATAATAGTAATAATAATAATTAACTGTTTGTTGAAAGAGCATGGCAGCCGTAAGGCTGGAAATATACAGTTGCATAATTGGGAAATGGGTCACTCATTGACTAATAATATACAGGTAACATAAGTGATATAAATATGATGTATAATGACGAGGTGGGGAGAAGGTCAAACTACAGGGCATTTCAACATAGTGACAGTGCAAAAAGGTAAGATTTACTGGGAGTGAATACACTGGTTGATTGCAAGTTATTGATAATTTTTACAATGGTTGGGACTGGGCTGTTCTTATAGCGATCAGTACGTGCTCGTATGGGCTGTATGCGGTTGTGGTGTCGAGCAGCACTTCTCGGACGAGGGACCTCGGGTGGTAGTAGGAGCCGGTGTCGAGGATGGTGCAGAAGCTTCTCCCCAAATTTGCAGATGATGTCGTAGTGATGGTCACTGAGAGCCGAGAGGGTCAGTGTGTTGAGCGATTCTTGATATTTGTAGTAGGAAGGGGAGAGAATAATCTTTCATGCCCTCTTTTGCACTTTTTCTAGGTGTTTGCATTGTGTGGCATTTAGGGAGGAAGACCAGGTGGGGGAGGCATAGGTGAGCTTGGGAAATATGAATATGTGTGTGTGTACAGTGGATCTGTCTGGACAAATATGGCTGCTGCAATGGGTAACATGAAGATTAAGCACCCCAGCTTATTTCACCTGATGATTAAGCAACGTAATGCCAACCTAACCTGATCTAACCCCCCTCCCCTAACCCCCCTTCCCCCAGATAAAGTTAGGGTGTTTAATCATCAGGTGAAAATTAGGAGTATTAATCTTTATTCACGTGTTCCGCTTCATCAACCTCGTTTAACCCATCAACCTTCCTCTTAATTCTCTCTCAGTCCAGTCATTCTACCTCTCTCTCACTCCAGCCATTCTACGTCTCTCACTCCAGCCATTCTACATCTCTCTCACTCAATTATTCTACCTCTTTCACACTCCAGTCATTTTACCTCTCTTTCACTCCTCATTCTACCTCTCTCTCTCTCCAGTCATTCTACCTCAAGTTGGATTCTACCCTATACGACCCTCTAGCTAGTAGAATGTCATCATTTTTCAACACCTTCATTTGTTTTTATAGACGATATCTAATATACTACTGTATAGGAATAGCCATGTGTCTGTTCTGGGCAGCCGAAACAGCACAAAGATTTTTCATCAAACTTGGTGGAAAATCGCAAAAACTTCGTAGAGTGGAACAAACCTGGTCCCATGTCGATGGTTTCTTTAGGAAGGCATTGATTAACCATTTTGTCGCTGTACGCTGTCAGCCGGACGGCGGTTGTGCGGTAGCCAAGCACTAGCGTTCAAACTTTAACCGGGGACAAAGGGCCCGCGATCACTTGTAAACACTATAGACGATGGAAACACTACTATTACTACTTTGCTGTCACTCGAAATCGAGTATGACGATCATCCAGCTATGATACAATGATATGAGTTATTCGGGATATCATCTAGGTTGGTGAGTTCTGGGGTGACTAAAGGGGCCAGTACGGAACCGGCAGGGTCGTTCACAGATGTTGCACATGTGGGGGGGGCTACATCTAGTGCGGGAGAGGCGGTGGCAGCATCCTTCCGACGTTGGCGCTTGTCTGCCTCGGCATGCAGTCGGGCTAACTCGAAAGTATTGACACCTCCTCCTAGAGTTACGGTGTGGAGTAATCGTCTCCAAGGTGAGGGGGTCGATTTAGCACTCTTTTCAGATGTCTTAAGACTATCCTTATACCTTTTCAGTTGCCCACCAGCGTTACATTTACTATTCGTTGGGTGATTGTACACAGTAGCTGCTTTGTCAGTCTACTGTCGTCCATGCGGGTAACATGGCCAGTCCAGTGTAGTTATTCATGGATAATGGTAGCCTAGATGCTCCTACAGTTGGTGTCAGCGAGAAGACTATGTTGGTGAAAGTTTTCAAGTGCATTGAGGTACCTCCTGCATGTAACCCATGTTTACTGTCATATAGCAGGGTGGGAGGGACCACTGCTCGATTTACGTGCAACTTTGTAGATAATTTCAGCGATACAAACACTACTGTATATACGATATAAACAGTATAGACGATATCTACCACCTGGGAAGATATTGGAAGCATAATGTATTGTCTAATGGTAGACCCTGCTGCCATATGGCATCACGAAAAAATGTGACCAAGTCCCAGGTTGCTGATTTGACTCTCTGCCTCATTTACACACAATTGCAAGGTTTCGGGTGCTTCTCTCTCTTGATTTTTGTTGTGCTCTTTATTATTATTAGTAATAGTAGTATTAGTATTATTAGTATTAGTATTATTATATTTTCTTTATTATAATTGTTATTTATTATTATTTTTTTATTTTTACCATGATCGGATTTTATGAAGTTATTTTTGCCTTTATTTCCTTGAGCCAAAAAAAGAGAAGAGAACGAATGATGTTTGACAGGTTTCATATCAATGATGCATTTAATGTTATATTGTAAGAGAAGCTGTGTTAAATAAATTCACTTAAACACACACACACACACACACACACACACACACACAGGGGGGGGGGAAGGTGGGGATGTACAGTATGTAGTGGTGATGGGGGAGGAGGTGTGTGATGGTAGAGGTGGAGGGTGTGAGAGGTAGGGAAGGGGAGGGGGGGAGGTGTGTAGTAATGGGGGGTAAGGAGTGAAGGTGAAGGAGGGAAAGAAGGGAGGTGTTGTAAGGGTAGAAAGGGTGATGTGAGGTGATACAGAGGAGCCAACCAAACCTAACCTAACCATCCCCCAGGTGACAATGAGATAAATCACGGTTCCATCTTTTCAGACGATCTTCGTGGGAGGTTGACGAAGGTGGAAGAGTCATTACAGTAGGAGGCGACGAAGGTGGAAGAGTCATTACCGTAGGAGGCGACGAAGGTGGAAGAGTCATTACCGTAGGAGGCGACGAAGGTGGAAGAGTCATTACCGTAGGAGGCGACGAAGGTGGAAGAGTCATTACCGTAGGAGGCGACGAAGGTGGAAGAATTTAAGACACTAAAAAAACAAAACAAAACCATACCGACTCTTACCATGGTGGGTGGAAGGTGTAAGAGCTGCTTGGTGATGGTGTTGGTTCTCACTCTCTCAACATCTGCCGTCATTTTCCCATCTCCTAATGCCCGGGAAACAGGTAAGGAAAAGTAACTAACCTTAAACTTATAGAGGTCCCCCCATTAAAACTCTCTTGAGAACGATGACTTTAATTAACACTTTGGATAATGATGACTTCTAGAGTACAATAACTTTTCCCTATTTGAGTACAATAACTTTTCCCTCTTTGAGTACAATAACATCACCTCCTTGAGTACAATAACTTCACCTCCTTGAGTACAATAACTTCTCATCCATGAGTACAATAACTTCATTATTTTGAGTACAATAACTTCATCCCTTTGTGTACAATAACTTCATATAACTTCATCGTCTTGAGTACAATAACTTCCCCCCTTTGAGTACAATAACTTCTCCCTCCATGAGTACAATAACTTCATCCCGTTGAGTACAATAAATTCATCCCTTTGAGTACAATAACTTCTCCCTCTTTGAGTACAATAACTTCATCCCTTTGAGTACAATAACTTCATCCCTTTGAGTACAATAACTTCTCCCTCTTTGAGTACAATAACTTCTCCCTCCATGAGTACAATAACTTCATCCCTTTGACTACAATAACTTCATCCCTTTGACTACAATAACTTCATCCCTTGAGTACAATGACTTCTCCCTCTTTGAGTACAATTACTTCATCCCTTTGAGTACAATAACTTCATCCCTTTGAGTACAATAACTTCATCTCTTTGAGTACAATAACTTCTCCCTCCATGAGTACAGTAACTTCATCCCTTTGAGTACAATAACTTCATCCCTTTGAGTACAATAACTTCATCCCTTTGAGTACAATAACTTCATCCCTTTGAGTACAATAACTTCATCCCTTTGAGTACAATAACTTCATCCCTTTGACTACAATAACTTCATCCCTTGAGTACAATAACTTCTCCCTCCATGAGTACAATAACTTCATCCCTTTGACTACAATAACTTCATCCCTTGAGTACAATAACTTCTCCCTCTTTGAGTACAATTACTTCATCCCTTTGAGTACAATAACTTCATCCCTTTGAGTACAATAACTTCATCCCTTTGAGTACAATAACTTCATCCCTTTGAGCACAATAACTTCATCCCTTTGACTACAATAACTTCATCCCTTGAGTACAATAACTTCTCCCTCCATGAGTACAATAACTTCATCCCTTTGACTACAATAACTTCATCCCTTGAGTACAATAACTTCTCCCTCTTTGAGTACAATTACTTCATCCCTTTGAGTACAATAACTTCATCCCTTTGAGTACAATAACTTCATCCCTTTGAGTACAATAACTTCATCCCTTTGACTACAATAACTTCATCTCTTTGAGTACAATAACTTCATCTCTTTGAGTACAATAACTTCATCCCTTTGACTACAATAACTTCATCCCTTGAGTACAATAACTTCTCCCTCCATGAGTACAATAACTTCATCCCTTTGACTACAATAACTTCATCCCTTGAGTACAATAACTTCTCCCTCCATGAGTACAATAATTTCACCCCCTTAGTACAATGACTCCGATGATATTGTGCTCAATTGCTTAAACCTTGTCCTATTAAACTAGTTATTCCAGTAGGCACCGTAAACAAAAAGTCCCATAATTAAGCAAGTCCCGTAAACAAACAAATCCCATAAACTAGCAAGCCTCGTAAACAGGCAGTCCCCATAAACAACATCAGCATATATAATTAATAGTCCCAACAAGCAAGCAGGTTCGTCCAACAATATAAGAACATAAGAACATAAGAAAATAAGGAATCTGCAATAGGCCGGTTGGCCTGTGCATGGCAGGTCCTGTCGAGAGTTACTACCACTCTCTATCATCCATGAATCTATCCAGCCTCCTTTTGAAACTTTCCAGAGTTCCCGCACTTACTACAAAGCTGCTAAGCTTGTTCCACTCGTCCACCACCCTATTTGTGAACCAGTTTCTTCCTATCTCCCTCCTAAACCTAAACTTATCCAACTTGAATCCGTTGCTCCGAGTCCTATCCTGCTCGGATATTGTAAGAACTTTATCTATATCCCCTTTATTGATTCCTTTCACCCACTTAAATACTTCTATCATATCTCCCCGCACTCTTCAGGCAAACCAATAGACGCATTTCAGTTCAGTTCAGTTCAGCTCAGTTCAGCTCAGTTCAGTTCCAGCAGTAATTTGGCCTCCCCCTTGCAGAGACGAGCTTCTGGTTCGAAAAAATGAGGCAAGAGATTAACGATGCTCTGGAACGACCTAAGAACACCGGCAGGGCTAAGAATGTGTTGTTCTTCCTGGGTGATGGTGAGTAGTGGTGTACCTATGTGGTGATTTGTCATAGGCGTCAGGTAGGGGTGTGTGTGTGTGTGTGTGTGGGTGTGGGTGTGGGTGTGTGTGGGTGGATCTGATCTGACAGGTGTGTGGAAGGAAGGAAGGTGTATATTAAAGTTTTTTCAGGTATGGGAATCACGGTGTCGACGGTTGGGCGTATCTTCAAGGGTCAGAAGAAAGGTGTGTCAGGTGAAGAGGGTCACCTGGTGTGGGAGAGGTTTCCTAATGTTGGTCTGATCAAGGTGAGTCAGCTGTAACAATAACATATTAAATTTTATATTAATGGATAGTCATATACACCAACATGTCAACCCTTAGACTTGTAATCTAGTACATGGTGGGGCTTTTGTTGGGGCTATTCTTGGTTGAATCGACTTGCTGTTCATCGTTGTCAGTATACCTACAGGGGTACACTGCCTATGCACAATACTGTACACATAAAAAATATCTGCCCATCTGGATCCGATGTGTTTTGAAATGAACACAATGTGCAGCAGATTCGGTTCGGTTGTCAAGGAATCACAAATAGTGATCAGAATTGTTTGTCCATTGTGTCATATTGTATCAGTGATAAAATGGGCAGATTTTTTGTTTTTTTGTGTGCACTGTATATTGTTCGTATACCTGCACTGTCTATCATGATATATCTGCACTTTGTTAACATGAATCAACATGAACTTCCGAGACGATTTCACTCAATAAATTTGTGCATCTACCTTATAAATTTTTAAGGCACTAACCTCAGCAACGTTTGGCCGGTAGACATACAACTTGGACAGACAGGTGCCAGACAGCGCAGGTACAGGCACAGCTTACCTGACTGGCGTGAAGGCCAACAAGGGGACCGTAGGCGTAAGTGGTGACGTACATTACAAGGATTGTGATGCCTCCCTCCTGCCTGAGAACAGACTGGACTCAATCCTCAAGTGGGCTCAGGACGCCGGCATGGATACAGGTGTGTGGTAGGATGGTGGCAAGGATACAGGTGGGTGGTAGAATGGTGGTAAGGATACAGGTGTGTGGTAGGATGGTGGTAAGGATACAGGTGTGTGGTAGAATGGTGGCAAGGATACAGGTGGGTGGTAGAATGGTGGTAAGGATAGAGGTGGGTGGTAGGATGATGGCAAGGATACAGGTGGGTGGTAGGATGGTGGCAAGGATACAGTTGGGTGGTAGGATGGTGGCAAGGATACAGGTGGGTGGTAGGATGGTGGCAAGGATACAGTTGGGGTAGGATGGTGGCAAGGGATAGGTGTGTGGTAGGATGGTGGCAAGGATGCAGGTGTGTAGGGATGGCATGATACAGTTGGGTGGTAGGACAGGCAAGGATAGAGGTGGATGGTAGGATGGCGGCAAGGATAAGCAGTTGGGTGGCAGGATGGTGGCAAGGATACAGGTGGTGGCAGGATGGTGGGGCAAGGACAGTTGGGGTGGTAGGATGGCAAGGGCAGATAGAGGTGGGATGGGCAGGGGATATGGGCAAGGATACAGTTGGGTGGGTAGGATGGTGGCAAGGATAAGCAGGTGGGTGGTAGGATGGTGGTAAGGATGGCTGAAAGTTGGGTGGGTAGGATGGTAAGTGGGTGATAGAGGTGTGGATGGTAGGGATGGTGTATGATACAGGTGTGTGGTAGGATGGGTGGCAAGGATACAGGTGGGTGGTAGATGGTGGCAAGGATACAGTTGGGTGGTAGGATGGTAAGGATAAGCAGTGCTGGGTGGTAGGATGGCAAGGATACAGGTGTGTGGTAGGATGGTGGCAAGGATACAGGTGGGTGGTAGGATGGTGGCAAGGATACAGTTGGGTGGTAGGATGATGGCAAGGATAGAGGTGGGTGGTAGGATGGTGGCAAAGATACAGGTGAGTGGTAGGATGGTGGCAAGGATAGAGGTGGATGGTAGGATGGTGGCAATGATACAGTTGGGTGGTAGGATGGTGGCAAGGATACAGTTGGGTGGTAGGATGGTGGCAAGGATACAGGGCTTTCAGAGACGACTACTTCAGCTGTACATATTTTTACAAATGCTAATATTTTCCAAGTTAAATTTTGTATGAACCAACCATCTATGATGATGCAGGTATGGTGTTAACTGTAATGATCATGACAGTTGTGCTGTTAGCTTTAACGATTATCACAGGTGTTGTGTTGCAGGTTTGGTGACGACGACTCAGGTAACTCATGCCACACCTGCCGCGCTTTATGCCAAGTCCGCCGACCGTTACTGGCAGTGCGACACAAAGATGATCCAGGAAAACGTGACACAATGCAAAGATATTGCACGTCAGCTGGTGGAGGACGAACCTGCACGTAACTTGAAGGTAGGTGGGTGGGTGGGTGTGTGTGCACGCACGTGTGTGTGTGTGTGCGTGTGCGTGCGTGCGTGCGCGCTAATGATACCAGTCCGTAAGTCAAAAGAATTATCATGACCAATATTCACTCATTGATTGTATTATTTAACCCATGTTTGAAGCAGGATTCCACACACTCAAAAGCCATTATCAATAAGGCCAGGTAAGGCACATCCTTCACAGTGTCAAACGAGATACTTATATTACACTTCTCGTTCTGCTTCAGGTGATCATGGGGGGAGGACGGCAGGAGCTGGGGGCAACACCACTGCAGGAGGTGAAGCTCGAATGTCCCAGGACGGATGGCAGGAACCTTGTGGAGGAATGGGCTGCTGACAAGGAGGCAAGAGGTGCCACACACGCCTATGTCACCAACACCCAACAGCTGCTAGACCTGAACCCTAACACCACTGACTACCTCATGGGTGTGTTACATGAATACTAGTCTGGCAAATCTCTCTCTCTCTGTTTTCCAGGTGTCTCGTTCTCACTCTCTCCCAGATATCACACTTCCTCACTCTCTCTTTGGCATCACAGGACTGTTTGGAGAGCGTCACACACCCTACGTGGTGGACCGAGACCCTGCGCCAGCGGGGACACCAAGACTGAAAGAGATGGTGCAGACAGCACTCAGAATCCTGAAGAAAAGCTCCCAAGGTTTCTTCCTACTAGTGAGTGATGCAGAGTGTTTATCATTATAAATATAGTGATGCACAATGATGTATAGTAACTTTTTACAGCAATGTGAAAAAATAATTAATGATATACAGGTACTGTATGGTGAAATACAATGACATGCAGAGATGTTTGTTGATGATGCACACTGATGTTCAGTAACATTGTGATACATATTTAGGTATTTCTTTCGTAATGACATACAGTACACTGATGTAATGCTCAGTGATATATATATAATATATATATATATATATATATATATATATATATATATATATATATATATATATATATATATATATATATATATATTTATATTTATAAGAAATGACCCATCACTGTCACCACAGGTTGAGGGAGGTATGATAGACCGGAGCCTACATGATACTCATGCCAGGAGGGCAGTGGAAGAGGTGGTGGAGTTGGACGAAACAATGCAGGCAGCGTTGGATATGGTCGACCTGGAAGACACACTGGTGCTAGTGACTGCAGACCATTCCCACACCCTGACCATGGCCGGGTATCCTCCCAGAGGCAATGATATCCTGGGTAAGTGTCACCTAGCCTTCCCAGGCCAAGCCAGTCGCAGGTTGAACTTTGTAACTTTGGGTTGACAGGTGTGTAATTAAATATATACTCAAATATGACTGTATCAACAGGTATAGTTTACAACGACCAGGTGACTGATGGGCTGCCCTTCACAACCCTGATGTTTGCAAATGGTCAAGGCTACAACTATACCTGGGATGGACACAAGGTATTCATGTTGTGGCGAATCACCATTGTACTGTTTACCATTAATGGGGGTGAGAGACATTAGTGGATGAAAGATACTTTAATAAGTACTGTAAATGAGACATTGATGTGTAAATCTGCAGTCACGCTAGAGTTTCTACCCAGAATAATTACACCATGGCATTGATTTTTCAACCAACGCCTCAAGGTGTGTCTACGGCGACCACTTATTTGTTGTCGAAAGTGGGATGATGCAGAGCGTTTAAAAATCCAAGGTACGGCGGGTTGAAATTTGCTGTAGAGAGTCTATTGTATTAATAAAATTTACACCGTTCTTATTTTTTCGTATTAATGCTAAAATGTACAAAAAATATAAAAAGTATATTTCAAAAACAAAACACGAACAAAATTGCCATAGTAAATAAAAAATAATAAGAATACATCACGACGGGAATTTTATTTCACTCGAGAGTACTTGCGTCACTTTTGTAAACATATATATAGTGTAGTGGATACCTCCCCTACAAACGCTGTTTGTCGCTGAGTAGCCGACCCCGCGAATTCCCCAATGTATGCCTCGTGGTCTAGGTCAACCAGCGCCGCCTTATATGACGGAGGTCAACTATTAAGCCACGCCTACCCCCGCTATATAAGACCTGACCTCATGGTGACCTACCTCTCTTTCGACCTACACCAACCAGCAAGCAACACCTCCTCCTCCTCCTGCCTGGCGGCCCTCGCTCCCGCCGGCAAGCATGGCGACCCACAAGCTGGTCCTCCTCTGAGCACCCTCACCAACCAGCTCTCTCCACTCAACGCTTTTAACCATGCTGCCTTCCCAGCACCAAGTTGCATTGTATATTCATCATATCCTGAGCGTGAACCAACATCACGTACCCCACAATAGCTTGGGTGCTACAAACGCACACCATATTTCCGTGATAGATACTGCTACCCACAATCGTTTCTTTTTCGTCTTGGTCTTCTCTAACAAGACCACACATCTCACTAAAGTGGTTCATGCTGCCATAGAAACATACAACGAAGCCATCCTGCTTTTCAGCTCAAACTAGCCGCACGAGCTTGGCGCCTGGCCGATGGTTCCTTTCGCCAGTGTGACCAGTGTGTGGATCGTACCATTGACTTATTGCCTGTAGATGAAATGCTATCGTGGATTTATTGCACCGAAAACTCTAGTGTGACCGTACCTTAACAGAGATATTAATGGTTTAGAAACTAAATGTGAGATTATTAATGATGGACAAGGTAATTACTAAGAGACATTAATGGTTAAGGACATATTAATGGTTCAGGGCGTTAATGGTAAAGGGGAGCGTCCGGCTGAAAATTTGATGAGAATCGGAAAATTATGAAAATATTCTGAAAAATTCCTGAGGAAAGCTGTTGCCTATGGCTATCTGTTGACGTATTGTGATTGCATAATTCGTAATTGTAGTATCTTGCGTTATTTAATGGGAGAATGACAAGCACATGGTCTGTCTGGCTGGGCGTTTATTCTCTGTTCTTGGTTACAACGTGCCTAACACAGTTCGTGTTTACACAAGCCTAAACACTTTCTGACTTTGGTAAGAAGTAACATAATATATAATTTATAATCAATGACCTCACCAGCAAGGAATCGAACCCTCGACCTCCTGGGTGGGACTAGGGAACGCTTACCGGCCAACCCACAAAGACACTTGTGTCCTTGTGAGTTAGCCGGTAAGCGTTCCCTATTCCCACCCAGTAGGTCGAGGGTTCGATTCCTTGCTGGTGAGGTCGTTGATTATATGTTCAAAGTCCGCGTGTTATATGGACTAAAAATGAAGTAAATATATAATATATATATTCAATAAAGGCAGCATATAAACATACATATATATAACAGTAATATTTGTGTAGCTCTGTATGGTTGTTCTAAATCCCCTTCATTTAGACTCTTAGAGGGTCTTTCAGTTTACGTAGCAAAATCTGGAGAAAGTATTTATTATGATATTTTGGTGTAAAGTAATACCAATCGCTTGGTAAATATCAGTATCTGGTACCTTTCTCAGCTAGCTAGCAGCAGGACCAGTCACCAGAGTCTTGTACACAGCAGTCACCCACAAAAGATTCAAAGAAGCGAGAGTGAGAGTAGAGATTCGACCATCGGTTGCTCTCTCTCCACCCTTCTCGGCCCGTATCTCAAAACGAGTTTTTCTAACCTTCAAATCCCTAAGGCTCGGCCATTTATGAGCGGATTCTAATAAAACAAAAACTAAGTAGTAGAATAACGTATTGTGCATTGCTGAACATATATATATTTTTTTTTATATTTGACTTGGTTTATTATTTGCTGATTTATCTTTATAAATATTTGGAGGAAAAATGGTAAGTTAAGAAAAAATTCATGCGCCCAAAATAAAAGCGATAACCAGAGATATCTATATGTTACATTCAAGAGGAGTAAATTACTGTACCTATATTCCACATAATTTTCCATGTAATCTAGCGAAAAGTTATGGAGAAGTAGGATTTTGATAATTGATTGAATAAAAGGGAAAAATCAGGATTAGGGATTAGGCAGAACCGATTCAGGGGTATAGCAACAATGTATCTAGTGTCCTTAATGCTGACAAGAAATTTATATTAATTGATCAATTACTAACGAATTTTATGCTTCAGCCGGACGCCATCCTTAAGGATATATTAATGGTTAAGGACAAAAATTTAAGAGAAACAATTTACTGGGCGAGACATAGATATGGTTGAGCCTCACTATTTATTATACGAGTGTTAATTGCAGGTGGTGAGGCCTAACTTGACAGGTGTGGACACAGGCCATAAGGACTATGAATCACTGGCTGCTGTGCCCATGGTAGAAGGGGAGGAGACCCATGGAGGTGAAGACGTAGCTGTTTATGCAGCAGGTATAACAGACGCTGTTATTTTTAGTATTAATACACCAAGCACTGTCCCTTAGAGCATTATTATGCCAGGCACTGTCACATCGGGGATTATTACGCCAGGCACTGTCACGTCAAGGATTATTACGCCAGGCACTATCATTTTCTACCCACTGTTTCCATCTACCTCTCACTGTGTGTGTGTACCACCCCTTGTGTATTCATTCCATCCAACACTTAAAACTGGTGAACTCTATATGTATAGGAGATGTGCAGTTACCCTGGTAGTTTTGTTCCAATGGGACTGTGTCCATTTTTTTACCTTTAAGGTCAGTGAAATCATCTTGCCCACCAAATTGTTTGCAGTACTTCCCATAGTTTTATTGCACCCAAGTTTGCCTAGAGGATAAAGTGTAGAGCCAGGAAATTTTGAAATCTTCTTTATATGCATCCTTGGTTTACGCAATGTGATTTCCAGACCATTTAATTTTTGCATTAGGAGTGTAAGTCTTACAAACACCATATTAGTTCAGGTTTTCTTAACTGTGTCAGTCAGTACCAGGAATACCATTCTCTATTGCCTTCCTGACTGGTGAAACTTTCACATCGGTCCACACTAATGAAATTCTTGAATATTTCTTTATACAGGTATTCCATGATTTACAGTAGGGTTGCATTCCTGGAAACCCTAATTGTAATTGAATTAATGTAAATCGGGAGCCTTTTAACCTGGGTTTCAATGGGATACGTTCCTGGCCTGTCTTACACAGACATTTATCACAGAAAAAGCTATTCTACAACACCAATTAAATAAATAAATACAATTATAAACAACATTTACCACATTAATAATAACAAACTTGCCGCTTAACAATGTCTGAATTCATCTCCAGAGACACGGTCTTTCTTGAAGTTTTGGCTTTCCTAGAGGTGGAGACTCCGCAGGATGCTTGCTAGCCATTTTCAAAGTTAACAATTCCGTGCATCTGAAACGCCTTACAATAAACGCCTTTAATCACTTCACAGTCACTAAAACAGAGCAAAATCTGAATGATAGTATTTTCCTCTCGCCGATAAATGGCAAATATCACAGCGATCATAAGGTTACGTAACTATAAATAACAATAATATTGGTTACGTGAGCAAGGGCAGGAATGGTCTCCTTGAAACAAAGGGTGAGATGCCCTTCCCCAATGTTTACTTTCTGCATCAACGAAATAAGCCTCTTGACAGGACCATTATCGAGAAATTTGCCTAACGTAAATTGCGAAAAGGTTTTAAAACCTAACCAATTCATTGGTTTATTGTAAACTGGGTCATTATAAATTGGGGGATACATGTATTGCCTCAATACTGTACAGCAATTTCAGTTTACCAGTGCTCTGTTTATTGTCTTTTACATTACAGTTTCCAAATTTTACATATGAGAAACTTAGACCTAAACAACAATTACAGAAGTACTTTGCAGTTTGGAATGCAAATTTTTCACTTCATTTCAGTTCCTCATTATACCCTGTCTTTTAACTCCTTACAATTAGTTTACTTTATGCAGCATCGCTTGATTTTTGTATGAATCCTTCATATTAGTAAATCAATTGTGATTACATCATCAGCAGCCTGGCTCATAAAGACCTCTACCATTTGTTTCCACAAACTTTTATATTGAGTCTACCCTACTCAATATTCCCACCACAATCTCCTTATTTCATGTATCTAATTACAGGATAGTCATATTGTAGGCCATCATGTGTGATACATGCATAAAAATGCATTTCTGGTTGACAGGTCCGATGAGCCACCTTTTCCACCGCTCACACGAACAGACCTATGTGGCTCATGTCATGGCATATGCTGCCTGTATTGGGCCATACAAGGATAACTGTCACCGCCCACTGGACAACCTTCCCCAAGATGTATATGAGTCTGTTGACAGTGGTGACACCTACTCAGATGACCACAGCCATCCTGAAGTTCCCGAAGAGGATGATATCAACATGACCCACCCCATCTCAGAAGACACTGGCACAAAATTGGAAGAGGTTACTGCAGAGATGGAGGAGGAGGAGGATGATGAAATGAATACAGCCACAGTGGAGGCGGCGGATACCCAAGCCTACCCCCACCCAAAGGAGTTGAAGAGTAAAAGGAGTGGAGGGGTGTCAATCATCACCAATAGTTATTTAATTGTGCTGTCCTTATTGTTACTAGGCTCACAGGCCCATGTAATTAATGGGTGTGTCGTACTATAAATATGGATACAATACACCTTTTCACATATACGTTGAGACATTGTTATATATCTATTTGACAAATTTCATAACCGAATGACAGAACACATATCGAATGACGATCTAAAATAACTGTTCGTTCATGCTAACGGAAATGATTGACATAAGTTATGAAATTGACAGCCGTGAACAATAAACCGACAGTCAATATATAGTTTGAGAATGTAACAATTGTAGGGGAGAGTTGTGGGACATGAGATGTTTGGTGTTCACACTCAGGATGGGATGGAGAATGGAAACTCACAATGTGCTCTCTGTATACATGTTGTATTGGATGTACAATGCAGCTTGGTGCTGGGAAGGCAGCATGGTTACAAGCGTGATGTAGAGAGAGCTGGTTGGTGAGGGTGCTCAGAGAAGGACAGCTTGTGGGTCGCCATGCTCGCCGGCGGGAGCGAGGACCCCCAGGCAGGCGGAGGAGGTGGTGTTGCTGGATGGTTGGTGTAGGTAGAAAGAGTGAGATCACCACGAGGTCAGGTCCTAAATAGTGGGGGTAGGCGTGGCTTAGTAGTTGACCCCCGCTCCGTGGGCGGCGCTGGTTGACCTAGACCACGAGGCATACACTGGGGAATTCGTGGGGTCGGCTACGCAGCGACAAACAGCGTTTGTAGGGGAGGAATCCACTACAGAGTATTCACTGCAGGACATGCCTTGAATTCATAAAATATTAAATGACTCAAGTAGGCTATTATTAGGATACTAAATTATAAAACAAAATAATTCCATTTCCACTGATTATCTCAATTCTCTTGTTAAATACACTTCCTCTGCTCTTACAAACTTTTATTGCTTGTTATCTATATTATATTTATATACTACATGATATCCACTTATTTCTATATCTATACTCACACTCATACAAATATATATATATATATATATATATATATATATATATATATATATATATATATATATATATATATATATATATATATATATATATATATATGGCTGTAGCTATGACAAAAATAGTTAATGATGAACCAATAGACGTTTTCTATGACTGTTCTTGGACCCGTTTTCTATGAGTATTTTTATTTATTTTTACTTTAGTTTACCCAATCATTTCTCTATATGATCTCTCTTGAGCAGTACACTTTCTCAGTAACAGGTGGCGCTGTAGTAAAAAAATTTGGGACCTCTCTGAGAATAATGGGAATGTGTGTCAGTTGCACTTCCTTATTAGATATTCCTTGTAACGAGGTGTTTCTCGCCGAAGCCCGGAAGTACTTATTTAGACACAAGACTTGGGCGGTAGACTAACTCTGCAGATCGACGCCTTCGCCCGCTGTTCTTCATATTTACGGTATGATTTATTTATGATTTATTCAAATAGTTAAATTTCTACTTGTGCAAATGTACTGTTACATTAAGGTTATTTATTTGTAGATTGGATCAGTAATTTAGCATCCTGAAGACCACATTTCCGGAAATTATTGTAAGAGTTTTTCAATGGGGCATTGTGTTGGTTTGAAGATTTGGTAAACATTCGTCCATTGGCTGTCCTCGGGTTTTAGTACGAAAATATTTATTTTGCCGTTTTCGGTGTGTTTTACTCAAGTCTGACATTCGTGTCTTCGGCAAATTAGCGGTTTTTGCCCCCCAAAATGAACACTTTAATTTTTAACAGAAACTGCTAATTTGCACGAAAATGGAAGTCAAATTTAAGTAAGACACACCTAAAATACAAAAAAAAAAAAAAAACTTCTCATACCCAACCAACCTACCAAACTACGAGGAGACTACTGACTCTTTAAGTGAGGAGTATAACCTCGGGTAAACATGGCGGAAACCTGGGGACAGCCAATGGACGAATATTAACCGAGGATTTTTATGGGATTTTCATTGTTTTAGCATATCCTGGAATTTACCAAGGCAACTTCAAGGGTTCTCCGATCCGGATTGACGTCATTTCCGGTGATAGAGCGCCATCTATAGCATAGCAACAGAGTCCGTGAGTTACTCCTGTGAAAACAAACCACCGGTACTAACACGTCGTACATGCAGGCCTATGTTTTCAATGTTATTTTAAGTGCCGATTCGCTACAACTTTATCTTATGAGATGGTTATATTTTATTTCATTCAACTTACCTTCTTTAGCTTCATCTCCTAACTTAAGAAGCATTTGTATCTCACTGTAGAGGGATTCACGTTCATTCTGTCAAGTCTCGTGAGTACAGTACTTGTGGTATCTGAATCCACTTGATGTCACATAAGGAGTATCAGGATTTGGTTATCCCAGAAACACCTAAGGGGTTAGGGGTGTTACCAAGAAAAATATTTTGGAGGAAGCGTGTCTCCCTTACTTGGCTTTGAGGCCTCCGATTGACCCGTATCTCGTAGCTAGAAGGAAAACGATATCTATCTTTCAATGGTATTGTAGGGTTTCGTGATATAATGTTGTCTAGCACTCAGGATGGATGGAAACTCTAAGGTGGTTTTCTTATATAATATAAGTTATATGGTAGACAGTCTGGTGCTGGAGGTGCCGTGTGGTGAGGGGCTGCTCAGTAGACACGTTCGGTGAGTAGCGTGTTGAAGGAGGTAGATGTGCAGGAGCTTCGTTAGAGAAGATGTTGCCTGTTGCTGGCCTCCTGGTTGAATGAGAACGGGACAGCGAGGAGCTTGCTTGGAGGAGGTGTTGCGTGTTCAGGAACTGAGAGCAGAATGAGAGAACTGGTTGGTGAGGACGCTCAGAGAAGGACAGCTGGTGGGTCGCCATGCTCGCCAGCGGGAGCGAGGACCGCCAGGCAGGCGGAGGAGGAGGTGTTGCGTGTTCAAGAAGAGAGGCCAGAATGAATCTCAATGGAGAGACAGAGCTTATATACACAGCAGCCGTGAGTCACCCGTGAGTCAACCGTGAGAAGCCGCCGGTCTTTTGACTCCGTTGCTAGGATACTGTGGCATCTGGTGAGGCCCCCCCCCCACTGGGCCGCTCGTTCGGTTGCTAGGGAAGACGTAGCAGGTGGCAGGCGGTTACCCAGTTATAGGGGAGACGTCCACTACAGTATACTATGATAGAAAGTTAATATTTAGCGAAAACTACGACAATATTTCACCTGATAGCTGCAGCTGCGAAAAAGAGTAGGTAGGGAGGTACTACCGCTTGGGAAGATATTGGAAGCATAAGGTGTTGTCTAATGGTAGGCCCTGTTGCCACACGGCATCACAAAAATTGACAGTCCCAGGTTGCCTCATTTCACACAATTGCAGTGTTTCGATTGTTTTTCTTACTTTGACAACACAATATACTGCATGTGTCATTTCTCACTCATGATACACTTTTTATTTATTTTTTATTTGTGGCTCTATTATTATTATCATCATTTATAATTTTTATTAGAATTTAAAATATTTTCTTGGAATATAATTATTTATTTGTATTATCATTATTTCATTATAATTTGGTCCCCCAGGCCGTAATGTGGGTCTTTAAAAATGACCTGTGGCCTGGTGGGCTAATGCCCGAAAAAAAAAAAAAAAAAGTGCACCAGCAGCCCAGTCCGGTTGTGTAATAGGGCTTTGGAGTAGACGCAAAATGGGGTAAAATACTATAGAACACCAAACAAACCTTTGAAAACCTTGCACACAGGGGCATAAATCCTGGGGAGGAGGATTCATCCCCTATAATATAGTGGAGAGATTTCCTATGTAATCACCTCCCCCCCCCGCCCCCCAATAATTCATGTATATTCTGGTTGGGTCGACCTCTTTGTGATCAGAAAGTCACATGTTCAAAGGCACATTTCTAAGTCTCGGAAGTCCTCCCCATCTTCAATCGCAACATATCTTTGCCAAATGTAACAATTGCATTAATTGTTACATATTTTTATTGGTTCAGGCATAACATGAACATATGCACAGCTACTAATAGTCTTAAATACCCCCTCCCCCCAAAAAAGTCATGCATAACTTACTGAGGACATAAAAGCAAAGCAAAAAGCAACCTCGCAAAACAAAATTACTTAAGACAAGCACAGAAACACATTTTTATAAGAAACATTTTTGCAGACAATGTTCAGGACCATAAAAATATAGTAAATATATGCAAATTTCTAATTCAAAACTATTAAACCAAACCTAGAAAAAAATAAAGCCCATAAACTCCTGGTGTTAGCAGTCTCCTCCACTATTGCAATTGTAAGCCTCATTTTTTTCTGGTCAGGTATGGTCATGGACAGAAGTCCATATTGAGAACCATACTATAAAGGGTTTGTCGACCCATGCCTAGTCTTTAAAGTTCTTTTTGATTGACAAATGATGAACCATGTGGTTAGGTTAAGTAAAAGGAACGTAGGTAATATTGGGTAGAGTACAACCACAGAACTATTTACTTTGGCACATGGTATTATAGTTTAGGGCATGACCTGAATCTTGATTTTCATCTTAAATTTATTTTCAACAATTCTAAGACACTTTTCTATGACATTTCCCTTGCAAACACAACTTTACTTCCGAGGTTAGTTGATTTGCCATAGAAATGAAGGTCAGAATCATTTGGGAGAATACTATGCTTCCCTTTATAGCCGTACATTTTTTATTTTTCAGCGAATTTTAATAAAAAGAATACCAAATAAACTTTTTGAAAAGCTTACCTAGCCTTCAAAAAGCTTACTTGAACTATAAAGTATTTTCTTCAAAACCCTATTACACAACCAGACTTGGGCCACTGGAGCACTGATTTGCAGCCCATGGAGTCTGATTTTTGCAACTACGGCCATCAAGTGAAGTACATTAGAAGCTTGCCATTAGCGGGTTTTCGATTGGCGATTTCGACAGTGAAATCTCCGTTAGCCATAACAATTGGTACAGAGCACTTCTGGGAATGAGAGATTTCTTGGTAACGAGATGACTCTGTAGTGGATTTCTCCCCTACAAACGCTGTTTGTCGCTGAGTAGCTGACCCCACCAATTCCCCAGTGTATGCCCCGTGGTCTAGGTCAACCAGCGCCGCCATACATCACAGAGCGGGGGTCAACTACTAGGCCAAGCCTACCCCCCGCTATTTAAGACCTGACCTCGTGGTGACCTGTCTCTTTCTA